ATATGACAGATTCTGCGCAAGTCTACTTGCAGTTTTAACGAATTCATGCGCAGGTTGTCCTGCCTACTCTTACCCTGCTGTGGAGCACATTGTGGATATGGTCGAAGTCGACGATCGGTCTGTCGCTGCAGTCACTATATCACTACATACCTATCACCACCGACCGCTCCTGGACTCATCACAGATGGATGGACTTAGCTCAGTGTTTGTCTGATTGTCTGCAGCCAAGCCGTTAATCGCCGTAATTCCATCTCCTCCTCTCCTCCTCTGTGTGTAAAGTCTAATCAGTGAATATGGAGGGGCGAGGGTGGTATTGAGCCCGCTAACCATCTGGGACCGAAAAACGATTCACTCAAGCAGGGCGCAGCTCACGCGGTTGTCACCCCATAAATAACTGTGGCCTCAATGGATCTGAATCTGTGCCCGGGTTCCGTTGATTGAACCATTAACTTTTGTCGTTTCTCCCCGTTGTTGCTGTGTGCTCGGCCATCCGAGTCAGGTTAGGTATTCCTGTTTCTCCGGTGTAGTTGCCTTGCCCGCAGCCATATCAGATCCAGTAAGTTTCCTGTGGCGGCAGTGAGCCCATTTACGATAAACACAGGAGTCGCTGATTGTTTCAGGTGGGCAGATGCACAGCACGGGCATCCTATGCCTACGCAAACGTTAGCCTTATCTGTGACCATCTCTGCTGCCCTATTAGAGCGTGAACCCAAAACGCCGGTGGAATAAAATTATTGTCCCATCGGTAGCACCTCCTTCTTCCTTTGTGCTTTCCTTGGGCTGACAGGAAATGTGGTGGAGGACTTCTGGGGAACTAGGACTATCATCCACAAGTTCATCTGACTCTTCTGGTAGGCAACGCCGTCTCTTCTGCATGTCTCCCAAAAGCTAACGGCTCCACACGCACACCACATGTCCCAGAACAACCAATGGCGATCTACTTATTGCAGGACCGGCGCTGATCGATCCTTGCGTTTTGTTTACTGACACATATGTGGGCCCCCCCACCCCCTCCTCCTCCCTGCCACCACTAGTTGGTTTCCCAAATCAAAAGCCAGAGCGACGAAATTTGTTGGACACCTTCACCCCACCAATGGAGCGTACAAACGGTTAACTAGTTGGCCACAGAAGCCACTGCTCCAAGAAGCCCAGTACCCGTTTCTCCTGTCGTTAGGTGCTTGTGTGGGCCTGGAACTTCTCCTGTTGGTTCCAATCTGTGAGGACGAACTTGTCGATCAGTGTCACGGTGTCAACAAGCCGAGGACGTCAATTGGTGAGGGGGGAGGCGTTCCCTCGTTGTCAATACACCACGTAGACCGCTACAGAAGACACTGAAATTAACGTGCTGTCATCGAATAGATCCTTCGGAGGCTGGATTCCAAAGTTGAGAGGAATACTGGACCTGAAGTTCACCTGCCGCTGTTAAATAACCGGCCAGGGTTGGTCCTGCATCCCACTTGATTGATACCATATGGTGAGCCTCCTAAGACAATTTTAGTAGGCGCGACTACGATGACTTTACATATATCATGTGTTTGCGTTTTCCCTGATATTCCATTCCAGCGAGTGACCGTGCCTTGGGATGGGGTGTCCTTGTACGCCATCCACGGTAACATCAGACATCAGTTCGCACGCGCTTCCCTGCCCGTGCTTCAAGCTCCGCTTGCGTCCTCTCTATTGCCTTAATCCAGCGAGCGGCTAAGTAGGCTTGCTAATGGCATTGTTCAGACGGATTGGATCTCCGTCGGTTGTACGGTGGTGGGCATGTGCTGCGAATTGACACGCGGGTCCCGCCATGGCCTTCCAGCTGTGATCGGACTCTCCGCATCATCTACAGTAGGTGGGCCAACTCGTGACATGTCAGCAGAAAGTTCGAAATGCGTTTCCGCTTCAAAAAGAGCAATTAAGTAGGGTTGTAAAAATAATCATCATGCAGAATAATTATATAATAAATCAGTTACCACAGGATGCCAGCTCTCGAATGAACTTCCTTCAGGCTGCATGCAAAAACTACACTCTGTAAAAAATGACTACTTATTTAGCCCGAATTTTTCTCATTAGTTTCCGATGCCCCTAAAAGTCCAATTATTTTTCATGGAAAACATGCGCAAAAATATTCATTCTGTTGCTCATTTGGTGGACTATTACGTCTTCTTCCAAGCCCATACTCGAAGGAAGGGCATAATTCGGTTTTAAAAAAAGTTTCTAATCGTGAGATTTTTTTAATACCGTGAAATGGTCCTTCATAAAACGTCATGTCTCTGCATTTACCAATGTGGCTTGTAAAGTTAATAATCAGGCTCAAATCCACTGCTAACTTTTATGAAACCCATATGCGCATCCCATTACACCGCAGACAAATGTATGGTTTTCAGTACGCGGAAAATATACGGCTTTAGTTTAGAAACCCTGAATCTAAGTGTGACGGTAGAGCCGGTTCACAATTATTCGGGAATTGAATAAATTTTCTAAAACCAAATAATACCCTTCATTCGAGTGTAAAATTGAAAAAAAGACGTAAAAGTCTACCAAATGAGCAACAGAATGAATATTTTTGCGCATGTCTTTCATGAAATATAATTGAATTTTTAAGTGCATCGAAAATTAATGAAAAGATGCATGCTACATAAGCAGTCATTTTTTGCGGAGTCTGATTTGTCGATGCAGCTAAAAAGAAGTTCGTTCGAAAGCCGACGTCCTGGGGTAACTGACTTATTCTAGAAGTATGCGGCATGATGATTGGTTTCACAACCCTACTTAATTAATCTTTTCGAAACGGAAACGCGTTTCGGAATTCCTGTTCAGATTTCATGAGTTGGCCCACTTACTGTAAATCCAGAGAGGGGCTACACCAAGCATCCGTTCACACGCGCTTCCCTGCGTGTGATTCGAGCTCTGCTCGCGCTATCTTCCCTTTCCTAATCCAGCGAGTAGCTAACATTGGTATGTTAGCTGAAATTGTTTCAAGACGCTTCCCATATGGTATCAATCAAACTGAGCTGAAGGACCA